TTTAATTTCTCGGTATAGGTCTTAATTTCTGATTCTTTCATAACTCAACATTTGTCTCACATCGTAATGATTTAGTTTCAGAAGTTGTTCTCGGCAACTCTATTTTGTGACAAAGGTGTTCGATCCATGCACTTCATGGATCCATGCACTTCATGGACCGGGGGCAGTTGTAGCCTCTACCGTGGTAGCTAGAGTTCCTGTATGAAGCTACCTACGGTAGCAGAGTTGCGCATAGGTCCGCCAAGCCAGTTGTCGCATTCGATGCGGTCATGTAAACGGCATAATGTGCTAGAGAAGCGCATCGGATTCAAGTCGCCAGCCGGACAGAGGTGGATCGAGACGGCGAATACGCATTCATTCAACCCATGTAAACGGAGGTCGCATGCATTTCGGAACGGGAAGGATTATGGGAAGGCGCTCGCTGCAGGATCGAGTGAAGAGCTGAGAACATTGCGGCGGCCAACTTGGTCGGCGGCGGCTGAGAGCGGTTCCGTGTGGTCGCCCGCAGTTCCTCGCGAGAAGAAACGCGAGCTTTTATTGCCAAACTAAATGAGCGGAATATCACTGAGCTGCTTAGAGAGGGCGTCCCCCGTCCAAGCCTTGCGAAATACGACTTGCGTGTCCAAGGGAGTGCCTAGAGGCTTCGGCGCAAACACGAACGACGCCGATAGCTCCAAGCACTGCATGGTAGCGCAGAACGAGCTGCCTGGCTACGCCGGAGCCTTTCGGCCTCGGGGAGCGGTCGTGGTTGGCAAGGTCTGGCGAGGCGAAGCGCGGTGGCGTCCTCAGAGCGGTTCACGACGATCTCGCTCGCCAGGCAGTGCGCACGCACGTCGCCTCTGATCCAGGGTGGCCTAGCGGCCCGATCCGGAGCCCAAGACGTTTGGGTTTTGATCTTTCTTCCGTCTCGTAACTCCTTGCACAGCATCGAAGACAGCGGGCACGCCATTTAGTTTACGTTCGCCGAAAGCGTCGACGCCTTCACGCACTTCACGTGCGATGCACCGGAAAACGTAGTCACGTGGTGCGGCCGGTGCCGGAAACGCAGCTTTAACTTTGAGCTTTGACACGGCGTGGCGCTACCTTCGCGCATGGCTTGGTGCGCATTCATGTAAACATTGCCGCGTCGGCTTCTTTCGGAGTACGATTGGAGTCGATGCGCAGAAATCGTATTCGTGTAAACGAGGCTCCAGATGTTCTGTAGGAAAGCCACACTGGTTGTTTGCAGGAGTCGGGTATGGTCGGCGCAGCGCCGAAGGTAAGCGCTCGTTCATTCCGCTTTATTTTTGGCAACCACATTGTTTTTTATGCACGTGTAAATACGAACGTGTACACCGCGCTCGTGTAAATAAACAAATATTCAAAATAAACGCTCGCTGAACTTTTTATAGAGGTTGCCACCAGGCGGCGCAGTCGTGTTCGGCGTTTCGGCTTCTCTGCAGCGCGTGGATGCTTTTTGAACCTCGCGATCTCGTTAGACGAATAGAGATGCGAGCGGCGCGGGGAAATCAAATGCGCCACTCTGCTCCTCCGGCGGCGGAGCATATACAGGAACTCTAGTGGTAGCGAAAAACTAGCGACACGAATTGTTGCGGCAGAATGGGGAACTAGCTACGGGTTGAAAGGGAAATCTGCACAAAGCTGCCGACAGATGGCACTAACGGTGCCAATCGCCCGGGCCACGGCTGCCGCAACCCCCCCCCCCCCCCCTCCCCCCCCCCTTTTTTTTTTCTTTTCCTTTTCCCTCCCTTTATTTTGTGTATTTTATGTTACATGGTTTTATCTTCTGGCGGGTCGTTACTGACTCCGCTGGTTCAATTGAATTTTCAAAGAAGAGTTGCTTGAGCCGGGAACATTTGAATACATACAGCTTTTGGGCCTGACAGCTATCCTCGAAAAACGCACGACCCGCAGAGTTACGTGTACACGACATTATATCAAACCACAAAGAAATCTGCCGAATTTTTCTTTGTATTTTTCAAAGACCAATACAATTTCGCAGCCACTTGCCCTTGAGGCATCCACGACCTCGATGAAGTCTGCGCTGGGAGAGGTGAACTTCTTCCTCTAAGTAGATACACAGCATTATTCTGGAAACGTGTAGAAGAAAGTCTTTACTCAATGTTCGCTTGCTTCGGCACGTTTTAAACTGCATAAAAAAGGTCTTTATACTGAATTTTGGTTTTATTATTTTTATTTAACATTCGAGGACAACTTCATTGACCTTTCTTTTTCTGTCTTATGACTAAATGTATTTACGTAGAGGTAACCGTCACAGAAAGCAGCTAGAACTCACCTGCAGTAAACAAATCCAGGGTGCCAGTCTTCCGCATATTTCCGATCGCTGCATCCCAGATGAGTGAGCGTGCTTCGAGCGAAAACCAAAACGTTGCTTGGACCTCCCATGCTTCTAGCGATCGAACAGCCTCGTAGGAAACACGGCTGACTTGGCCGGCAAAAAAAGATCTTCCAGTTCCGATGTGTCGATTTCGCCAACTTGGCGTCGGCGCATCCGAGCCATCCGCGCTTCCGTGCGACGCGCGACGAGGACGGAGCAGAGAAAAACGTTGCAGCAGCCACGGGTAGAAATTCAAACGTTGGCGCCGCGGATTGCGCAACCCCGTCGGGAGAGGGGCTTTCCGATTGGCTCAGGCAGACGGAGTATGTTGACCGTATGGTAATTGAGGTCGTCTTCTACCGCGGCGCGTTAAAATGTTAGCGGTGAGAACCAGAACTAGGTACAGGTGGTAACGCATGGATGGATGTAGAATCGGTGGTATGTGGCACCTTCTTTGATTAACCTGCGAACTTCGGAGCTGCATCCGGCTTGCCTTCCTCGGGTAGATTACGCAAACACTGCATGGGAGATGATTAAACTTAAAAAAAAAAAGAAAGGCAGAGTGGACACGGAGAAGCGCTGCTGTCTGTCTATTGGTTAATCTCTTGAGTGGCTGTTGTTGAGGTTGCAAACAAATGCACGCAGTGAGCTGGCACGGCGTACGTCGATACGCGTTCACTTGATTTGGCCCTTGTGGCGTTTTCGCTCGCTGCCCGTGCCAGCAAGATCGTAATTGTTTCGTTATTCGCTGTCTCACATGTAGCGACATGGCGGTGCGGTGACGATAGCACGCGACAGATGCACAACCCGGGGAAACCGAAATTTCAAATTACCCGTTGTGTCACCTGGTCCCAGAGTGCACCGCCTAAACCGCTAGGGGCGCTCCTATTTTGCCCATCGCAGAGCCGTATATGGCGAGAGTTTGGCCAGTCTATGATCTCGCCGCCGTTACGCCCCCCTCCCGAGTGAGCCAATCAGTCCGCGGTGCAGAGCGTGAGGCGTGAGCGCATGCGCGTGAACTCCCGGTTGCTGCCAGCTGAGCGGAGAGGGCCGCCATTTTCATTCATTCCCCGGGCGGGATGCATGGGATCGACATCCAAATTTCGGTTCTTTTCTTTTATTTGGCAGGCCCTGGCAAGAAAATTATAGTGTTATTCCTCGGTGGCTTAAAAAGCTAACGAACGAAGTTTCTCCATGTTTGAACGCAAACTTTGATTCGGGCGAAAAATAAATAAGCTCGTAGCAGACGACGCGTAGCCTCAACAGTGCTCGGCGCCAACAATGTTACGTCAAAATGGCGCTCGTCTACCCGTTGCTTCCTTCTTCCTCCCTCGTATGGCGGTCTCCTTCCTTTCGTTCACTTTTCTCCTCTCCGGCGCCTTCATCGCCACAAACACTGTCCAGACTCTCCCAATATACGGCTCTGGCCCATTGTAGCCCATTGCGGAGTTGGCGCTATCAGAGTGTGCTGACGTTACGTGGAGGTAGAGGAGGCCGTCCACGGGCTTTTTACGCCAACACGCGTCTCTGACGTAACGCTACCCCGGTGGCTACTCGCACGAATCTAGGTTTCTGCGCACGCGCAGTGCCCACGCCTGGCATGGGCAGTGCGGGTGGACAACCTTGAAGGGCTGTCCCCACGCTCCGGTGTGACCGCGCGCGAATGGCTACCGCTTGGGAGTGCTGACGACGAGACACTCGCAGTTCTCCATCGCAATAGTCCGGTGCAACTCAAGAAGGTAGGGCGACGGAAGGGAGGGCCGGGGAGGAGGAAGCAGACGGAACGCTGGAGAGAGGGAAGAGGTTTCCCCCTCTCCTCTCCAGCGTTTCGTCTGCTTCTTCCTCCCCAGCTTTCGTTTTGCTCGCCCTACCGTCTTGAGTTGCAAGAAACTATAGATGGAGCACTTCGAATCTGCGAATGGCTAAAGGGTTTGCAGTATATGCTAGATCAAATCTATGCACTATGATAAATGGTCGTTTGTAACGTCGCAATTATTTCGGGTCCACGGTAAAGGAATGAGGCTTAAAAAGACTAAATACAGGGGGCCCCCAAAACAAAAATTAAACTTTTTTTTTTTTTTGCAAAAATGAATTGCGTTTTGCCGAGCGCTCATTCTCCGCCCAAAGGTGGCGCTAGAGGTCCGAACCAGAGTCCGACGTTTTAGCCCGAACCGATATCTTATTCGAAAGTTATGAGGTTTTTTTAAAATGTCAATGGGAAAACGGCGACCGACGGAGCTGTCGAATACTATGGCGCCAGAAACCGAAAATGGGCGAAAATGGACCGAATCATTCCATTGAAAATTTCAGAAAACCAGATAACGTTTGAATAAGATATCGGTTCGGGCTGAAACGTTGGCGTCTGGTTGTGACCTCTAGCGCTACCTTTGGGCGGAGAATGAGCGTTCGGTGATGCCTAGTTTATTTTTGCGGCTTAACCCTTTATGAGGCGCGAAAAATATACTTAAATCAAGTGTGTTATTAGTGTACTATCTGATTTGTGATGACCTCGAGAAGTGCCTCCTAAAAAATGAATGTGCAACTACATATAGTTTTTATAAAAAAAGTGGGACATATATGTCCCACCGCCTGCCGAACCAACAACGAGAAGTGGGACGCCTGTGTCCCACGGGCATGTTCAAGGCCGACTAGAACGAACAACTACAAAAAATATTTTTGTTTATTAACTCAACACCTTTAAATTGTGAAAAACACTCGGCAAACAGTTCAGCTATAATTGTTCTGGGAATGTTGCATGGCAAACACCGCCTAGTCTTGAGGGAGCCCCTTCCGCGCTTTCCTATGTAAATGCCTTTGCGGCGTTCACTGTTCGGAGTGAAAAGGTGCGAAGCACTCGACGCAGAGTGGTACAGCGCATGATTTGCAGATGTACTGGGTCCTGGATTCTTTGGTCCTGGTGGAGCACCATCTACACCTTCGCCTTTTGCTAATTTTTTGTGCATGATGACCACTCCCTTGAAAGCGAAGCTCACTGGGCACTCCAACCATTGCTTGTCCACTTCGCTTGCCTCTTTTCTTGTGCATGAAAGCCGCTACTGTGCGTTTCTCCCTGAATGTTTGACGGGAGATGAGCTGGCGTCCCAACATTAGTCGAAACTGCATGTAGTCGACTTCCTTCAGTGACTTGTACTGAATAAAGGCGTTAACAGCAGCAGCGTCAAGCAGGTAGTAAAAAATTCGACACCACCACTTTTTTGACTTGCGGTCTGCTGGGTGAGTGTTCCTCTTCTGATCAAAGCGGTCAACACCCCCCATCCACTTGTTATAGTCTGAAAGCACTTTCGGACAGGACACACCAACTTTGGCACCACTGGCAAGCTTCCGCGTGACTTCTACGATTTCTTGTGGGTCATGGTAGTTGGACATCGCGTGTACATTCTTGTTGTCGCGCCACTGTGTGGCCGTGACACATCCTTTGGACCACCACAGGTGCTGGCCTTTCTGAAGCTTGCACTCCTTGTTTAGCTCGATTGGTAGGTCCTTGCGTGTCGGTCTGAATGTGCCTGCAGCTAGCACTCTCTGCTCCCTGAGCTTCTCCATCAGCTTTGTAGATGTAAAGTAGTTGTCAAAAAACAACTGACTGTTCTCTTCTATGCCATGTGAAAGGGATAAAACGACGTGTTCGCCCAAGGAGAGATCGGGGGGTCGCTTGGCATCCTTTCCCTCGTATATCTGGAACTCTAGGAGGTAGCCAGTCTCGGAGTCAGCCCTACACCAAACTTTATAGCCTCGTTTGATCGGTTTCATTGGCATGTACTGTTTTAGAGAAGACCGTCCTTTGAACGGTATCATACTCTCGTCGATGGACTGATGCGTTGACGGCGCATATTCTCTCAGGAACCTTTCGCTCAAGGCAGTGACGAGGGGCCTCACTTTTGAGAGCTTATCAAAGCCGTCTTCTCCGCGCTTCTTCTCAAGTTCGTTGTTATTGAGATGAAGGCTGTTCATAATCGCCTGAAATCGTTTGAAAGTCATGACGTTTGAGATCTCGGAAACGTTGAAGAACTTGTCTGTGCTCCAGTACAAGTACACGTGATGCACTGGGTGCACACTCATCAGAAAAAGCATGCCCAAATACGCTTTGAGCTCATCTGTAGTGAGGTTTTTCCACCCCGCTCGGCGTTTCTGATGCGCATAACGATTCGTCTCTAGCACGATTGTGTCAAGAACTTTTTCATCAAAATACAATCCAAATACGTCAGCGACACCTGATGCCTCGGTAAGCTTTTCGGAGTACCGAGGATCTCGATCTGGTGGGTCCTTCACAATCTCGCTAGGTAAGTCTGTACACCAAGAAGAGCCGGTTGCATCCACTTCATCTTCCTCGTGTTGTGCCTCGGCAAAGCTGTCGACCTCCAATGTGCGTCGTCGCCGTTTTTTGGGCTTCTTCCTTTCATAGGTTTTTCTTTTCTTCGATGTAGCACCTGTAGACGGCCCTGCTGCATCTTCGTCCCCTTCCGCTACGGTGTTTTCGACAGGAGCTAGCTCAGGAATGACGTCTTCGTCGCTGGATGAATCGCCATCCGCATCGCTTTGGGTCGGATCGTCTGGGAGACTGAAGAAGAGTTCTACCGCCTCTTCGGACGTCAGCAACTTCCTCCCTAAGATTAAAAAAAAACTATGCGAGTCAGTCAAAGGCGAGGAGCAAGGCTCATATAAACTAGCTGCGTAGGGTTAGCGGGAGCATGGGGTGAAGATCTCGAGTTTTACGTTGCACAAGTTTTCTCGGATATTTCGCAGTCAACAACACTATAACCCGAGATGTACAACAAACGTGTGTCACTTTACAAGAAATAACAATGCCAAACTCACCCGACATCCCAAATTCAAGAAGGACCACGTTGAATCAGGCTGTCCAAAGCGACCGCTGAACGCGCCAAGACCACTGCTTTGTTTGTACGTTTAGATGTTAAAACAACTGTGCTGAGAGGTTGCTGATGCTCCTAACAGGTGGCGCGACAAGAAAATGTGGGACAATAGCAGTCCCACGAACCCCGAGTGGGGCTGTTTTAGAAATCGGAAAAGTGGGACGTATGCGTCCCACTGTCTCATAAAGGGTTAAAAAAACGCTCTCTGACAGCTAGTGTCACGTCGCAAGCAGCCACGAGCCGTCGCAAGACGCTCGGTACACTCAATGCGCAAATATGTGAATCCGCTTTGCGTGCGATGGCTACGAGGCCCCCTGTGGCTACGAACTCGACTTAGTCGGGTTCGTAGCCACAGGGGGCCTCGTAGGGAACGACGGAGCACAGAATCGTTCCCAACAAAAATAAGGTGGAGCCGTGTTCTGTGTGGACAGTCCGGAAGACGAGCGCGTTCAGCGTTCCCTTGGGTGGGTGATTTTGGCCATATGTTTTCGCAAAGGGGCTGTGGGACACGAGCGCTGCGTCTGGGTTCGGCGAGAAGTCCGCGCTTGGCGGCGCTGCCCTTGCTTCGGAAAGAGTAAGATCCACGCGCCGTGCGCACCACCTCCTAAGGAACTTTGCACGTGCGACTGTACAGGCTGTTTTCGAGCGCCATGTCGGCCCGAATGCAGTGAAACTTTTCGAAAAGGGGTCTCCCGAAAACATGTCCAGCAGGTCCGAGGGTGTCTGGTACCATCTACGAGGGGAGGGGGGGGGGGGTTACATGTAAACTAAAATCCAGACTCGTGAAGTTAGATTGTGATAAAATCAACACCTTAAGACAGCTCCCTGAAAAGTTTCAGTTCATTCCGTTCGTGGGTTTGTTGGTAGGAATAGCGCTCGGCGACCCCGTGCAATTTTCCGAGGGACCTGGACGCGCAGAGAGGGACCACCCGCAGCCAGGGCGCGTGCTCTGGCGGGCGGCGGGGCCAGTGCGGCTGTTGTCACGTGCGTGCGCGCGCAGGGCGCGGGCCCCGTTCGATCGGCCAGTGTGCGCCCGGGTCTCGCTGGGCCCGGTCGCAATGCTTGCCGGCGAGATGCAGTGGGCCCCGCCGTGCTTGCTTTGGGTGAGGGTCACGTGGACGCCCGCTACGGCAGGGCCCTGACACGCTCTCTTGTCTCGCAGCCCGGCAACGACCCGTACTGCTTCGTCGAGTTCACCGACCACCAGTCCGCGGCGTCTGCCTTGCTGGCCATGAACAAGCGACTCTGTTACGGCAAGGTGAGTCGCCCGCTCTTCCGCAGGGGTGCACGTGGCCTCTCCGCTGCGAGGTCGGGTTGGCCGATCCTGGCACACGCTGGTCCCGGCCAAGGGTCTCGCTCCTCGAGTGCTCCGACTCGGAGCTGTGCTCGTGGAGCGACAGCTGTCTTACTCGGACTCCGAGGAGGCCCCTGAATCCTTGTTGATTCGCTGAAATTCCAAGCCGCTACTCGCAGCAACGTACTCCGTTTCACTCGAAGAGCTAAGAGGGTGTCCGAGGGAATGCTGTCCCTCGGGGAGTTGTGCTCGGCGACACCCTTTTAGTTTTGGCAGTTCATTGGGGTGCACGTGTCGTAGCAAACACCATCCGTATCCAAGTTGCCGTGTACGGATCGTTGTTTATTAGCGACGATCCGCACCCGTCAACTTGGATACGGCAAAAGTCAGCCCATTTGTAAGTTATTACGTAGTGAAGTGGGCTGACTGACGGAAACATGTCATTGTTCCGCCGAAAGGGGCCGCCCGAGGGTACTCCTACCGGGAGTGTTGTCTTTGACTGCTTTCTGTTCCGATCGATGTGGAGAGCACGATTCTGAGCTTTTCTTTTGATCCCCAATTTTTGATTTGCTGCTGAAAATTTCGAGGAACGAACCGAAGGGCCGTCAATGCCCGGAACGTAGACCGCGCCTCGGCTATGCTGGCCTTGTCTACGGATCGGCAGAGACCACTGAAGAACGTCCATCTGTGATGTCACCGATTGAAATGTGCCGACTAAAACGGATATATTACGCGGCACCAATGATCACGTTGCACTCTTTTAAAACGTCCGCCGCGGCCGATGACGTTATTTTGAAATAATTTGATTATTTAAAAAGCTTCGTTGTCTGAGGAACGTTTTCAATTCCAAAAAGCCCTTTCTAAATGCAAAAAAAAAAAAAAAAAAAAAAAAAAATTCAGCATGCGGGAGTGCTTTGGTAGACTGCGGTTGGTTAAGAAGAGGCCACTAGCCTCTTCTTAACCTTCGTCTGCGGTAGTTGGGCGCTTCTGGCCGTAGCTGCCTCCGCGCCGTCAAGCTCTGCTACGTCCTCTCCTTGGTGAGGCTTTTGGTCACGTCGTCGGGGTGCGAATGGGCCTCCTCGACCGGACACGAGCACTGCGTCGGCTCTCGGCTCGAGTGCAATCGATGTCCCCGTGGACGCTAGTGTCGGGGCCCTGACCGCAGGCACTGGAATTGCAGCGCTCGAACGATGGGCGCATCACGTGCCCTCTGCGTTGCCAACCCCCGTCCGCCTGGCTACGATGGAGCGTTGGCGAGATACCTCAGGCGCCCCGCTACGGTGGCGAACGGGGGAACGCCGATCGCTATGCCCAGTTTTACGGTAACGTGGCCAAGCGTTGGAGCGAGACGCAGCAGCGCTATCATGGGCTGCTAACGTAGGGAGAGCCTGCGCCTGCTTTGACATTCGGAAGGAAACGTGACTCGGTCGGCTCGTCTAAAGTGCATTTCACATGCAGCGATTTCTCTCCTATAGACCTTTTTCATTCACTCTTGTCCTCAGCCATCTGATAAACATATCCGGTATGCGCGACGAAAAAAAAAAAAAAAAAAAAAAAATGTAGGTGAGGCAAAACGAGTTCCGCTTATATCCTGAGCGTCTTCTTTTGGCGTGGCAACGGCAAATCAATGTTTTTGCCCATACTGGAAGTGATGGCATTCAAGATGGCTGCGCCCTCGTGGAAAAGGTTATATTTCGCCGCATGCTCACTGTCCATTCACGGCGCGGCAGTGAATCACGTGACAGGAGCAGAAATACTGCTGCAAAGCTTGCTCATAGAACGGTGTTTCCACGTTCATCCAAGCAGACTACACGCGGAGGAAGTCCTGCGCAGTCGGTTACAAGTCAAGGAGGTAGGAGAAGCTCCTCCCATAAGCGTGATGCGCCCGTTTCAAATCCATCCGCAGTCGAAAGAATAGTTCCCTGGAAACGCCCCTTGTTCCGCTTAGTGATGCCAACTTGTCTCCGACCCCCACTTTTTAAGAAAGCGACCTCTGTATCCATCGGAGGGGGAACGTAACCCCCCACTCGTGGCTTCCACAACGCTAAGTCAAAGTTGAAAGAAAAAGCAAATATTCGCAGGAAGGCAAAACCCTCTCCCGCGTTGGCCACAACGTCACGGTGGGACGCTATTGGATGCGGAGGTGGCGGAGGGATATATGAATCCCTTTGAGGGGCATTTGCCGCTACCTTCTTGACCTGTAACTTACGTTTCTCGTGTTGGGGGCCTTCAGCGCAGCTTACACACTTGCAACCGAGTAGGACGGAGAGAGACGCGACCGGGTTTTAGGCCTCTAACGACGTCTCTGAGACCAGCTCCGCAGCATTGTATCCGGTCCGAAGTCGTCGCAAGAGGCTTAAAAACCGGTCTTGTCTCTCTCGGTAGTACTCGGTTACAAGTGTGTGAACGGGCCTTTACTTTTGTACTCGCCGGAGCTTCAGTTCAGCCTATTTGGTTTGGTTGTGTGAATAAGCTTTGTGATTTAAAGTCCTCTTTCATTTTCCTTTTTGGTATCTGAGCATGTATGTATTCACAATAACTGAACTGCATTTAAGAGAGGACACTACCCCAAACTTTCTAACTGTTTAGTTTGATTTCCATTATACTTGCAAGGCATACTCGACAATGTGAGAGGTTGCCATGCATTGATCGGGGGTTATTAATTAATCCCTCGAAGGGGGAGTTACATGAAAGTACCTAAACATGCTCTGCACCCACTGAGCAGAACTATCGTTTTGTTTGAAACGGTAATGATAATGGCCGATTATTTTGGTGAAACAGACAATATAACACCTATGTCACGCAGCTGTAGATAGAAAACAAAGAAATGCCACCATTTTTACTATAAGTGAAAATAAGAGATTTAGTTTTTTACATGTATTGGGTTCAGGATACTGGAGCTGTTCATAGCAAAGTATCATGAACATACAGAAAGTAAGTTCAGTTGCATTTTTTATAAAATATAAGCATAAAAGCTCCAAAAACTGGCTCCACACATGAATTCATTATCGAGTGATAATTTTCCTGAACCGAGTTTTGATGTCAAAAAGTGAAACGGCGATAAACGCGCTTTCAAGTCCTGAAAGCTGGACTTCAGGTGATATTGGAAATCATTTATTCGGGAAAAAGTCGTTCAGTTCCCAGGAGTGAATATTTGTGACAATCTCCGCCAGGTGACCTGGAAGCTGATACGACTACTGGCTAAAAATAGTTCCTTTAAACAAGTACAGAATTCTTAGCTACCGTACCAAAACAACGAGTTAAAAAAAATATATATATAAGCGATCTAAACATATTATTTCTGGTGTTCGTGTGCCTGTTTTTATTTTGAGGTTGTTATCGGAAGCCGCCGAAGCCTGAAACCCATTGTGCGCGTCCGTTCTGCTGCTAGCAACATTGGGCATCGCAGTGGCAGAAAGCGCTCGTCGACGAATCGTGTAAAACGAAATTTTGCGAATCGTTTTCGAAATCGCAGCGCCGCTGGAGGCGGCGATTTTGGCCGCAGAATCGCAGCACATGGGAGAACGCGCCTAAGGACGTTGGTCTGAACTGTGGTTTCCGAATTGCTTAGGTGGGGATTGCTCGAAAGCGATCTTGGCCTCGGCCTGAACGGAAGCACGTACGGAGGGAACCAGCTCTCCTTTTGGACTGGGGGGGAGCTTTGGCTCTAGGCGGCCAGGGCAACGAAGCATGAACGAGGGGAGAGCACGCGTACGCAATGCGGCATCGGCCACCGCGGCACGCGAAACAGCCGAGGCGGCCGATGCGGATGGGGCGGCATTATTTTGATTTGATGGGAGCGTGGACTCGACGTTATCTAATGGGGGACGTTACTTGCGATTAAACTAAGAAAGGGGTCGATCGTGTGTGCGCCGTTGCCTTTTGAAACGAGCGCGTTTTTTTTTTGTTTTTTTTTTGTCGTCGTGAATGGCATTTTTTTTTTTTTTTTTGTGTTGTGGCGACGAGGCGACATAGCCTCATTCGCCGTTTGCCAAATTATGCCGCAAAGGAGTGCGCGGAGGGAAAATCGAATGCGCGGTGCCTATGTCGAGAACGTTAGGGATTTATAAAATCGTATATGCCAGGGGAAAAAAAGATCCTCAAAACGTCTACCTTTTTTTTTTTTTCGCTCTTTACTATCCAGTGATTGTATTATATTTACAGCTGCTGTGGTTAAAGGGGGTGCGGAATCGAAACTTTGAATATCCCCGGAACACTTCGAAACGGGTGAAATATAATCCAATATATGCGCAAATTATAATCACAAGCTAATATTTTGAGCGGATGGCTATATTTTTCGTTCCAACCGACGGATGGAACGGCGCGATGGCCGATTGGCAATCCCGCCGCATCGATGGCCAATCAGCCATCGGGGCGGCGCGATGCGTCTCGGGATATTTGCCAAAGACGTCACGCTCGTAACGTCACGGTCCCATAAACGGCCAAGGGCACCGTAATTACGATCGTCGTCGCTAGATGGCGCCAGCTTTATCGTCAACGCGTTACAGTCGCGCCAAGTAGGAATACCCGAGGTGTGGTGTACTATAACAAGTTACAACTCAAGAAGGTAGGGCGAGCGAAACGAAAGCTGGGGAGGAAGAAGCACGCGAAGCGCTGGAGAGGAGAGGGGGAAACCTCTTCCCTATCTCCAGCGTTCCGTCTGCTTCCTCCTCCCCGGCTTTCCCTTCCCTCGTCCTAACTGTGCCAAGCGCTGCTCGTTCTTGGGCGCCTCTGTCGGACACGCCGCGCCGTGGCGCTGTTTCTTACGGGCCCGTGACCTCAGACACTCCACCGAAGCTCGGTCCCCCAACTACCAGGCGGTATTGGCAAATCGTTTTATTCGTTTTAAAGTCGCCTTTCTTGCGTCTACGGACGAAAGGCTGGGGTTTGTGAACTGCTGTCATAAAAGAGACCACGTCTGCGTAAAGAAAGAGGCGCTGTCGAAGACCACGGTGTAGCTAGCG